GATTGTCCAAAAGAACCACGTTCTCCCCCCACATCCTGTCAAAGCAACACACCACAGCTTTGTCCCAGATGATAGACATCCTTTCCTCAGTTCCATTGGTTCCTTCAGGGATCAGAGTAAAGTTGTCCTTTCCAACAGCTTTCTGGGCAGTGTTGAAGGTACAGTGGGCACTGCCAGTGACCTGGAGATCTCCACTAAAATAAAAGACAAAAGGTGTGCACTTGACAGAAGTTCCATCCACTGCAAATCCCTTCTACAGACCATCATCTCCCTTATACAGTTTGTTTGTATGACTCATTCAAGAAACAGATTTGCCTTTTCTTTGGGGGGAGGTGTGTGTAAAAATTTCCAGTAGTTTTATGCCAGGGGGCACACTCTCAAAAGACCTTCCCAGATTTCATGCCAAGATGCTACTTTCTCAGAAACTGCTTTAGTGTCATTTTTTTCCTTTTAAAAGATTGTTTTTGAATATTTGAACCAGCCAATCAAGGATCACTAGGCACCATGCACAGCACTATGAAACCCAATCAGATTTGGCTACCTGATGACATCATGAAAGCAAATCGAGGGCAATGCTTCCTGTCCTCATGTTGATCATCTCTCATACCCTCTCACCATGACTACCAGTTCAGTGGTTAAGAGCGGCAGACTCTAACCTGGGAGAACCAGGTTTGCTTCCCCACTCCTTCACATGTACCTGTATGTATGACCTTGGGTCAGTCATAAGTTCTTTCAGAGCTATTCTCTCAAGGGCAGTTCTCAGGAGAGCTCTCTCAGCTCCACCTACCTCACAGGGTGTCTGTTGTGGGGAGGGGAACGGAAAGGGATTGTAAACCGCTCTGAGACTCCTTTGGGTAGTGAAGGGTGGGGTGTAAATCCAATCTCTTCTTCTATCAACAAAACAGATGGAGCATTTTGTATGTGTGCCAGAGAGGCGGGGTCTAAATGTTTTGTGAATCTGCCTCCACTTCAGTCAGTCCTAACAATTTGAATAGGCACACACCCCCCCAAGCTTTTCTTGATACTGACTTTAGGTTTATATGCAGGGTACCCACTGCAGGAAGAGCTCCTCTGACTCACCAAGACAGCAGAGAATTGAGGAAGTCCGGAGTGGTGGGGTCAGGGCTTAGGGGTGGAGAGGTGACGAAAGCTGCTGCTTTGGCCCAGTTTTTACTCCAATAGTGCGACCCATCTGTGCCCAAGCTTGCTGTGATGGGCTCCCCGTACACCACAGTGCCTGTGATTCAAGAGGACACCAACAGGGTTGATATTAACCAATGTGAAATATATGACACTTCGCATACTCCTACAGTATTGCAGCATTTATTATTTCATTCATACACCCCCTTCCCAAATTCTCCACTCCTCCATCTTATCCTGACAACAATCCTGTGAGGTAGGTTGGGTTGAAAGCATGCAACTGGCCCAAGGTCACGCAGCAGAGCAGAGATTCAAACCTAGGCCTTCCAGAGCCTAGTCCAACAATCTAACCGCTACATAACACTGGCTGATCAGTCTAAGGCCATGCCTTAACGTATTTCAAGACAGAAGACTGTTGACTGAGACACACCAAATGCTGCATTTCTGCCATGGCAGAAAGTGTAAAAAGGGAGACAGAAAAAAAGGGGGGGGGGACATACTGGCTAAACACTGAAAAGAATCAAGATATGTAGCCATTTTAGTCTGTCTGTAGCAGTAGAAAAGAGCAAGAGTCCAGTAGCACCTCAAAAAACAAACAAAATTTGTGTTAGGCTCATCCCCTGCCACATATTTTGTTAGTCTTTAAGGTGCTACTGGACTCTTGCTCTTTTCTATTAAAAAGAATGGATGTGGTACAGCTTACGGGGTCCCAAGTGAAATCCCTACTCAAATTAATTTAGAATCTTGTTTGGTTACACTGTCTTAACTAGGTAAGAAAAACGTATTTCAAGACAGAAGACTGTTGAATGAGACACACCAAATGCTGCATTTCAGTAACCATATATTTATGTACTCTCACAGCTGCTGCTACAAGCAGGGAATTTATGGCCATGGCCCCCAGATTATGGAACAATCTCCTTCTAGAATGGAGAAATTGTTCCTCCTTTCTTGCATTCTGAAAGGGATGCAAACTCTTCCTTTGTTCAACTGGACCTTTGTGAATTCTCCCTAGAGTAACTTTTCTAATTAGTAATGTAATAAATTTACTAGAAAAAAATATACTTAGGCCGCCTATATTGGCAAGTTAATCTAGAAGTATGGGGTTACAATATAACACTTTAGTGAGCTGGCAAACAGTCCATACAGGAGGTGTCTTTTTGCTCTGGAGGCCCTAGAACTGCTACATAGCCTAAGAATTCTAGCACTGCATGAACTGCACAAGGTTTCAGACTAACTGTAGCAGCTGCTGCTTGCTTCTGCTCACAGGGCTTTGGATCCAACTTTACATTACACATTAGATTTTTATTGATTGCAGTTTTATTCCAACTCCGCTCCTATTCTGTTGTTGTAAACCACTTTGAATGCACGGTGGGAGAAGCAGAATAGAGATAGCTTAAATAAACTGTTCCATTTGCAAAGCAACATTTCCCTTGAGAAAGTTGGTATTCAAAGCATGCAGGATATTAAAGATACTGGTTTGTCTACACAGCTGGTCCAATTGTTTTCCCCCCTCTTGTATGTTTTCACAGCAGCCTATCCTTCTGTTGCTTCTATTTCTCCATCAGTCCAGTGTGGAGCTGTCTTTTGAATGTTGCACTAAGCTTTGAGAGACCTGGGTTCAAATCTTACAATCAGTCCTAAGGTTAAAGATCAAGATGGGTAGCCATGTTAGTCTGTCTGTAGCTGCACAAAAGAGTAAGAATCCAGTAGGACCTTAAAGACTAACAAAATTTGTAGTAGGGTATGAGCTTTGGGGAATCCAGGTATCTGAAGAAGTGAGCAGTGGCTCACAAAAGCTTATACCCTACCACACATTTCGTTAGGTGCCACTGGAGTCTTGCTCTTTTCTGCCCCTAAAGTTAACTGGCTGACCTTGGGTCAGTCCCTCTTTCTCAGCCTAACCTATCCCATGGCATTTTTTGAGACAAACTGTATATTCTGCCTTCTGCTCATTGAAGGAAGGGGAGGATAAACATGTAACTGACTGATACACAGAACTTACTGTGATAAATGGATGTGATTTTGTGGTATATATGAATGGGGTATATTAGAACCTTTTTACAATATTCAGAGAACATGAAGTAGTGAGAAAGAATATCTCTGAGCTTGCAAAGAGCTCTTCAATCAACAGACCCATATGCAACAGATCTTGTCAGGACACAGCCTAACAGGCATCGTTAAGAACCTGAGCCCTGCTGGCTCAGATCAAAAGATCCACCTAGTTCAGCTCAGATCAATAGATCCACCTAATCCAGCAGCAGCCAGCTTTTCAAAGTGACCATCAAATGTTACAAGGTGGCCTACAAGGATGGTGAAGAGCAAATGCTCACTTTGATATCACCTTTCAGGAACTGCCTCTAAACATGGAGGCCCCATTCATGGCTAATTCCCTCTCTGAATGTGCCTAATTCCCTTTTAAAACTGTCTAAACAACATCATGTGGCTGTGAATTCCATCATGTACTACATGAAGTTCATCCTGAAGCTACAGCCCATCAACTTCACAGAGTGTCACTGGGTTCATGGGAAATTTCTTCCCCAGAAGATCACAATGTAGAAACCAGACACTGCTGAAATGGGGGGGGGGGAGTTATTCCCAGCATGACAATGAAGCCATCCCCCCCACACACACACCCCAAGATGGAAAAGCGATCTCATTAATTTTGGTTTGTTTAGACTACTTCACATTCAGTCCAGTTTCTCCATCCAGAGGGAGGGAGGCAACAAAACCTTTCAAGCTGGAAAACCACCCACACTTGGGGATGTCTTAAATAGAAACTATTCAGGCTTTAACTAATGAAAGAGAGGAAACAGGAGTTCTGGATGTATGAACAGCAATTCCCATAAACGCTAAAGTTCAGAGAAAGGAGTGCTCTGTTACAGCATAAGGTGGCTTATTTGGGCCCCCTCTGGCCTACAAACAGGATAACTGGCAGAGATAAACACCAGGCTGATTCACATGTTATGGTTCGAGTCCCTACTCCACCATGGAAGTTTGCTGGGTGACCTTTGGTCAGTCCTGCACCCTCAGCCTAACCTGCTTCATGGGGCTGTTGTGAGGACAGACTGGAGGAGAGGAAAACAAAGTAAGCCACTTTGGGTCCCCACTGGGGAGAACAGCAGGGTAGACATGAAGAAAACAAAACAGAATGTCATAAATTGTCAGTGTGTGGCTCAAAACATGCAGAGTGCATACAGTCGAAAACATCTGCAAACCAGGTCAATCACACAGGGCACTTCTCTTAAAATTGGCTGCAGCAGCTCCCAGATGGATACCCGTTTGGTGGTAAACCCGGGTGAAATGCCATAGATCAGTGATGGTGAACCTTTTAGAGACCGAGTGCCCAAACTGCAACCCCAAACCCACTTATTTATTGCAAAGTGCCAACACGGCAACTTAACCTGAATACATACTGAGGTTTTAGTTTAGAAAAAACAACTCATACATTAACATAAGATGATCCAAACAAGGTAAGGAAAGCAATCCCAAATGCTTTCATTTACTTCAAATTATTTGGCAGAGAATTCCACACTTTAATGACGGTCTGGGCCTGGCTGGGGCGATGGCACACGTGCCCACTGAGAGGGCTTTGAGTGCCGCCTCTGCCACGCGTGCCAGAGGTTTGCCACCAAGCTTCCTGCTTCCGCCTTGAAGTTTCTTTGGACCAAAAGGTACCTCTGAAGATTGTTTCTGTGTCCTGCGTCCATGCAACTGCTTGCCTGCTGCAGTTCCCAGACCCTGCACTCCAACTGCTTCACCCAGTTGCCCTATTAGCAGACAATTTCTTCTGCCATAAATTGTGGCTTATGAGCACGGCCTCATTCCATGAAAGAGAGTACTTCACTCAGACATCCATGGCTATTACCCTGCTGTTTTTGGGGTGAGTGTAAGTTTCCATTTCATGCTGAGAGAGTAATTAGTCACCCAGGGAGCCAAATGGGGATTTGAATCTGACCTTTTCAGTCCACATGCTAGCCACTAAACCGCACAACCTCAAGCCAGTAGCCCTGCTCTGTTTATTAGTCTGAGACTCCAAACATGCGTATTTGGAGTTGAACTGAGCCAATGATCGCCCACCGTCTTTGATCTTGTCACTGATTGAGGGAGTCTTCTGCAGTTGCATCTGGAAAAATTAGTTCATTTCTGGGTAAGTGAAAGTCTGAAGAGATTTCAGAGAACAAGGAGAGGGGCTGATTTAGGAGGAAAGATGAATGAGTGCTCAGGAATTCTTCACTATTTACAAACAGACATTACCAAGGTGACTGCACCAGGCGGTGGAACAAAAGAAGAAACCTGGCCTGGAAAGGCAGGCTGTTTGGCCTGCAGAACAGTCCCTCATGAGCAGTTTAGGAAAGTTACAAAATCCAGATTGGACGCCAGACACACCCAAGAGAGAGCTACAAAGTTACACTGGAAAGGAAAGATGGGAAGAATTAACAAGATTTCCCCATCTATTCATAGAAACATACCCTTTTTCCTGGCCTGGGCAATCACTTCAGCTGCACTTTTGCTCATCACCTTAGTGACATACAAGGGGCAGTTGGTCTGATTAGCAATGGTGATGGCCCGGTTCACAGCTTCAGCCTCAACCTGGAAAGGGGTGGAGTGAGGGGTGGTGGTGGGAGAATAAAAAGAAAGATCTGTCTTCACAACAAGTACTAAGGGAAGAAATTCCCACAAGTCCCCAATGACTTCTTCGGCACTCCTCTTTTGAAAACAGAGCCATAATCAAATTGATAGAAACAATGAATAGGAGAAATTTGTTGAACAGAACGGGGCTACGTTCACACAATCTATCAAACCACATCTGAAAATGAGGCCCACTACACTCTCCTCCTCCTCCTCCTCTCAGGCCAAGACTGATTTCATCGCAGCATCCCAGATGTTTAACAGATTGGTTTTTTTCTTGCCTACAAACTAGGATTAAATGGTAGCTTGCATTGCTGGCTCACTGGCAGAAAGAGAAACCAGATTGTTAAGAATACCTAATTCAGACATCATGACAAAATGTGGTTCATTCTAAACCAGCAAATCTTTAATCTCTGTGTGGTGTGCAAGAGGAGGAGGGAAAGGAGCATACAAGACTGAGGAATTCCTGGTTGGTACTCATCAGAAACAAACCATGGTTTGTCCGTGCAATCTGTGTGCAGCTTCTTTTTAGAAAATCAGGATGTACATAACCTTAACAAATAACAAGGACACAACCATCTATGAGGATGCACAGACACACGGCTTGTTGCATAAGTGAACAAAAATGGTGCGGCTGCTCCCCAAATCCATCGGTTCTGTGTTTCATTGAGGGACGCAAATAATTTTTGTGTAACTTTAAAACAGCTCTCTCCCACTGAAAAAACTGCTGTGGGGAAAAAATTGGGACACAGTCCCTGATACATACACACACGGAAAAGACACAGGCACTATGGAGATATCTGCATTTTTTTCCTCACAGTGAACTAAATAGCAGCTTTAAAAGGGGATTAAAGGCCCCGGTCACACGGGCAGGAAAATGCGGGTGGGGGAGCGTGGCTGTTTGCCCCGGAGCAAAATAACGCGCGACTGCATGATCAGACGTCCCGTCGAGGGGGGAGGTGCCGATCACAGGACAATCCTGCAGCGCGGCAAAGAAGCGGCCTCTCTAGCAAAAGGCCCCGCGGGTTTAACCCCTTCCAGGGCTGCAGAGGAATGCAAACTGTGCCCTCCGTCCGGTCCCCTCCAGGAGGAGCTTCAGCCGGGCCGGCCTCCCGTCGAGTGTCAGCAAGCTGCCATGGTGTTCTGTGTTACTTGTGTAACTGTACAGTTTCTCCCTCCCCCTTCGGCTTGCTAGCCTGTATTGTATTCTGCTGTAACGCCTAAGCCAAACATCTGGAGGACGTGGTGTAGGAGTAAGCTTGGATGCTAGCTTGTTGCTTTTAGTTCCTGGGAACTGCACCTGTATTATGTCTGGAGATAGCAGTGTTCCCAGGGAATGAGCGCGTAACCGTTTGCTTTCACCCGCCAGCGGGAAAGTGACCCATTGGTTATGTACCTGGTTCAAATCCCTTTATTATGCTTGCCCTAGCTGTTTGTACCCATTCCTAACAAAGAACTTGTTTGAGTATCTTTCCAAAGCTTTGAAATAAATTTTGCTTTTCTGAAACGTGGATTTATTCTCGATGCTTGGGGATCCAACATATTGTTAGG